TGGACATTTCATGAGTATATTTTTATTATAATTTTAAAGAAACTGAATACAGTAATTTTTTGGTGCTTGTTGGGAACAGATCCCATGAAAACAAAATCCATATACATTTCAGTCCTTTATATAAAAGGACATAGGCTTTGCCTGTAACCTATACACTCCTTCAATATGTTCTAAATCACATCTAGATTAACTATTTTATGTAGTTAATAACATAAAAATAGTGAGTGGATAAATATTATACTGTTTTTTAGAGCTGCTAACAAGAAAAAAAATCTCTGCATACTCACTTTGATGCAATCTTTTAAATATTGTTGATTGGGCTCATAGATACAGGATTTATAGGTACAGAGGACTGACTGCATCCCTTACTATTCTATATCATAGGCAGAAACAATCCCAAGGGTACTGGAGAGATATCCTTTTGTGATGTCTTTATAAATTGTTTAAAATAGTCATTGTGCAAAATTTATAGTGATACAATTATTACGAGTAAAGACACATGAAAATTTAAGACTTTCTCACTAAAGACAGAGAAGTAAAAATTCCAGTTAATGACTCATCAAAAATTTGTTTCCCTGCCTAACAATATATTACATCAAAGATATAAATTTATCATATTGATTCTTTACTTTCTCATTATTTTCATAAATAATGAGGGAGAAAACTAGAAAGTAAAAGGTAATAATAATTCACTTCTATATTTTACTTTCAACTCTGACCACCCTTTTGATTCTTGATATTTTAAATCTTTCACTATCCCCAATCACCCACATTACATCACTTGTATTTTCATCATTTACTGTCACTTATTGTTTTTCAGTTTGTCATATTAAATGATTAGGTCTATAAAGGCAATGACTATGTTTTGTTAGTTTCCCATCATTACATAGCTGAGATATCTATCTTATAAAGAGATAAATGTTATTTTGACTTAGAGTTCTGAGGGTTCCTATCCATGATTGATCAGTTAGATGGCTTTTGGCCTTTGGGAGGCAACATATTATGGCTGGTATACAGTGTACCAATGACTCACCTTATGACCAAGAGCCAAAATTGAGGAAGGGAAAGGGACAACATTCCACAATGTATTCTAGGGCTTCCACCCACAAACTCAAGAGCTCTTACTAGGTCCTAATTCTTAAAGGCTTCACCATCTCTCAATAGTAACTCACTGGTGACCAAACTTCAAATACCTGGAACTTGTGGGAATATTTAATTTCTAAACTATATCACATCACTATTTTATCCATTATTGTTCATATTCTCAAAAAGTTGGTGAAAGTTAAATATTAATAGAGGCAATGAATTATCCAATATATGTTCATATAAGTGGAGATATGTATAGCTATATAAATTTCTCTAAATATACATAATAATTATTTTTTCTGTCATAAACTGGTAAATGATATTCTAAAAGATAGACATAATGGCACAGGCTTATAATACCAGCACTTGGAGACTGAGGCAGGAAGATTAAGAATTCAAGGCCATTCTTGGCTACACAGCACTTTTGAGGCTAGTCTGAGCTATATGGTATCTTATCTCAAAACAAACAAATCAAAACCCCAAATAAACCAACGTATGTACAAAAGACACAGGTTTGACCATTAATTGGATTGATATATATCTTTATGTTGTTTTGTTATAGAGATCTATTTTGTGAAGGTTTGTGGATGCAATAAGGAGACTTAAATGCAACAAGTGAGGTTTTCAAGTGTTAATAATAATCAGTGGTCATTAATCCTGAGTGATTTAAAAAGCAATAAAAATAAAATAATAATTTTAAAGTTAAAAGGAAAAAAAATTATGTGCACCCATATGCATACATTGACTCTCAGAAGATCCTAAAAATTACTAGCTCATCAAAATCAAGTGCATTTTATTGTCTTTGCAATAAGGAACAAATCATTCTAATTAATAGTTCACAAAACAGACTATAGTCCCAGAACTTTGGAGATAGAGGTGGGAGAATTTCTGTCAGAAGCCACCCTGATCTACATTGCATGTTACAGGACATACAGGGCTACCGTACTGAGGCTGAGTCTTAATACAAACCAAATAGGAAAAAAAAATCTTCCTGTGGCACAGATTTTCAAAATTTTTTAAAAATTTGTTTTCTTATTTTTATAGCAAATATTTACTGGTAGGTTAAATTCTCTGAAATAAGAGCAAATTAAAATAAACCATTAATAAAACCAGGCATGAGTTAATATGTTTATCCTGTGTTACATATTCATAATAACCTCATGTGCAGTACCCAGCAGCAAAACTTCCAGGTTACCCCACAAACCTATTGAGAGACATATTTTAATTCCAAGATAGACCCCAACCACTACATACAGATATTTTTACTAGAGAAAAAAAGAGCTATCATGGAGTGTTAGAATTTTATTCTGGAACTTCTTTCGATTGGACACAAAGGTTGTAGTTTCCCTCATCTCCTTACATGCTGTACATTCATAATGGGGATGCCACAGCTCAAAGCCCACTCTAATGCTGTCAGGCTCATCAGGAAGGCATTTCCCATCAAAATCAAAGGCAGGAAAGGAATCTTTTCATCCATTATGTAAGGCATCATCAATTTGATTTATGCTCATCAGATATAAACTTCATATACTTTAGATGTCCGTGTATGTGTGTGTGTGTGTGTGTGTGTGTGTCTGTCTGTCTGTCTGTGTGTCTGTGTGTCTGTGTGTCTGTGTGTGTGTGTGTTCATTCTTTTTATAATACATTATAGACCTTATTCTAATAAAAACTATTTCAGTTGAGGGGAGTATTTCAGACAGAGTCATGGAATAGCCTGGATTATAGAAGGAATAATGTTGGTAGTGGTTGTGATTTTTATTTTGGTAGAGCTAACAAGATACTGAAACTGACAACTGTTTATTCTCTCTTCAAGAATAGTGACATTGATTCTGGCTTTCTGCTTTAACAATGCTTTTAGTTCAATAACAAGTTCAGAGAAGTGAGATTCTAGGGAGGCTTTTACTTCTACTGTCAAAGTTGCCAATAAGCTGAAGACCTCTTGTGAGCTCTCAGTTTGTAATGATGGAGCTGAGCAACCAGTAACCTTATTTCTATACTGGTGCTTCTGACTCTCCAGGGTGGTTGGGTTTTCACCACCCAGAAACTGTATGACTCCACTCTTCAGAGTTAAGGAGGGTTATAAACACAAGGGTTCTTTCTACCGTGTTCTGTCTCTTAATTATTGTGAAAAGAGCAGCAACAAATGGTTGTACAAATATCTCTGCAATAGGATAAGTCTTGTGGTTATTCACAGAGGTCAAAATGATCAATACTTTACTTTGATAAAAACATTTTTAATAAATTTGAATTAAATATCTTAGATGTTATGGTAATGGTGATTAAAATATTTTATTTATTATTTTTATTTTAAGTATATGAGTTTATTTCCTGCATGTAAGTGTACCCATGTCTTGCAATGCCCACAATTGCTAGGAGAGAGCACTGGATTCCCTTGGAACTGAAGTTAGATTGTTGTTAGCCACCATTTGGATATTGGGAACTGAACCCAGGTCCTCTGTAAAAGCAGCCAATGCTCTTAACCACTGAACCATCTCTCAACTCTTTAATTGTCATTTTTAAAGCTGCAAAATAGAGTTCCTAGAAAGAAAGCTTATATCTTTAGAGCATTTAAACATTAGTATATTTTTTTGATCACTCACTCCTAATTCAGAAATATAAGTATTACAATGATATTGTTATCTGGTCCATGAATGAATAAGATATAATTTTGATTTACATGGTCGTGTGTTGGGATTAAACTCTTAAACATAAAATTACTACATAATATAAATGAAATGTGCTGTGAAGACTGCAACTGAGTTTGGATGTATCAGGGAAGACTTTCTACAAAGTGACCTGAGTGGTGTAAGCCAGTTCTATAGAGCTGTGTCTATATATTAACATGCTTTACTTCTCCTACCACATTTTACTACCAAATTGACTGACAGCCTTTCCTATGGATCACAGGCCTTTCAGCAGGAGACAAGAGCAAAGTGATAGATTATTTTAGTATTCATAAAAAATAGTTTATCCCATTGCCTTAGATATAATATTTTTATTAAATTCGGGTACTTACTTTCTTTATGTAATGATCCAGGTAACTTCTGCA